CCTACAAAGTGACTGTTGGATTTAATCTTTAAGAAAAGAAAGGTCATCTCACCTAGGAGTGAGATGTGATAAGGAGAGGAGGAAAGGGCTTCAAACAGAGATGAAAGAAGTATGAAATGACCAGGGAATGCTTGGTAATTCAGTGTAACTGGCATACAAGATGTCTTTTGTGGTGAGAAGGAGAAAGTAATTTGAGAAAACAGAATAATTTCTGTCAATAGCTAAGATATCCCTTAAAACTGTACAAGTATTAGCTTTTACATAATGTTATGAAATTTCCCACCGAAAGTGTTCAATCATATTTAAGTAGGGTTTTCTTTTCTTTCCCTTTTTTTTCTTTCTACAAACATCATTCATGTTTTAATCATTAAATAAAACAACTAAATTGCAATTTGTAACTTAAATTTATTGCTTGGACAAGATTGAGATTTAGAAAATTTACTGCCATGATGTCACCAATGGTTTATAATTTATAAGTCTTTGGATTAGACATTAGCACAGTTATTATTTCCTCTAATGCCTTACCTCACCGCAGTCTAATAACATTCAGGAAATCCAAAAGACAAAGGGGAAATAGTGGTCTTGAAAGCTAAAAATAGTCGTTGAAAACTGATGCAATCATGTAATAAAATATGGCACTATAACTTATAGGATATGTTCATGGTATCTGCTAAAGCAATTAGAATCCATGCAGCTAAGTTTTTTTCATGTATTACTAAAAATGAAAGCTATAGCAGTCCAAGGAAGACATATAAGCTATGCAGTTTAATTGTGCACATTGGTATTAGAATTTTCAGACTTATTGCTTGCATATGTGATCTATTTAATACTCTTCTGTAACAGAAAAAAACGTTTAGTAGCAATAGGATTTCAAAAAGTCTTCCAGATAGAAGCAGTCAGTGATCTACACGATATATTACACATGACATCATAGAATATTAACATCCAATTACATTAACACAAAGTTCTTTCACAGTAGATCAGTATCTTCACACATCTAAAAGATCTTACTCACTTAATATCAGAAATACTGATGCCTTTTCATATTAATGACATTAAATTTATAAGACTTTTAGAAGAGGGGCCTTTTTTTATTTGATAATTTCTGCGCATGTTCCTTTTTATGATATTGTAACTGTTACATATTCCCAATAAAATAATGTAATGGATTGGCAGTTATGTTCATTTTGAAAAAAAATTACATATTAAGAAAAACAATATATTTTTCTGATTTAAATGTTTATTTCAGGAAAGATTTTTAACTTGACTCTTAATCTACTAGAAAAAATAATTCTCAATGCATTTCAGGAGACCAGTACATTTACGTATATTTTCAACATCCGTCTTAATTTTCACTGTTGAAAAAAATGGGCAGGCATTTCCACTTTCAATTATGATCTAAGATATTTTGATCATGATAGGACTGAATGTATTTTACTGTCACAAACATAAACAATGGAAAAGGGAATTAATGAATATTTTCTGAGGGCATCCTATGTTTTATACACATTATTACAATAAATCGTTGTACCAATTATTTCAGAACATTTTTTAGGTACCGCTTAAAGCACAGAGCAAATAAAACACAGAGCCAAGGATAACATCATGTTCTGTCCAACTTCAACATCCTCGGTCCACATTACCGCATGTAGTGGGTATGAATGTTACAGTACAAACATTTGTATGTAAGAAATGTCATTTTGCTTCCTTTTCCAGAAATTAAGTTACATTTATTCCAGGACCCCATCTCACTTACCTGGAGGGAAATTCAATTTGCTTTGCCCCTCAATAGAAGCATAAAAGAATATAGAGGATTTACATGGTAAATGCTTAGAAAATGGGTTAAGGAGTAGATTTAAAGGAAAGATATTGTGTATCAGTTAAAGAGGCAATTAATATAGTATTTATGTGTGAGGTTGAACAAAAAGAAAAGGAAAGAGATGCCAGCCTTGGGCACATTATCTAACACCATGACAAAGGATAGTTTTTCATCTTCTCTTGAACCATAACTAACAAGCTTAACCTCTCTTTCTATGAAGTCTAATCCTTTATCTTGTAAATCAAATATTACATGAGACTGAAACTACTTCTCATCTACCTTATTATTTTCTGATTAATGTTGGATGTATGATCCCAAATATAATTGTCTCATACTTTGAACGGGTAACTCCTTTGTTTTTCAGTATTGTAAAATGTCTTAAGAGTATAAGAAATAATATTTATAATGGTATTTTCTACCACAGCACCACTTCTCTCTGTTCTTTCCTCTAACTTGTTACATATAATCGCGTATATAGATTTTAATACTTTCTATAATTTGTGGTAGTAGAGTGTCACTATTTTGCTGAGTGCATTATAATACACCCTGATTTTTAATCAAAATACATATACATCTAAATGTTTCTTAAAAGGTTCTATTTTTTAGCATATGTCAATAAGTTTTATATTATAATTTTAATATTCAAATACCTATAACAAATTTGTATTTATTTAGAACTTAGTGATACAGGGACCAGCAAATGGTATAATAGTTATGTCACTGGACTCCCACATGGCCAACCACAGTTCTAGTCCTGGACCCGGTGACTTGAAACTAATGCTGGGTGCATGTGTGTGCATGCCCACAATCCCAAAAGGAGAGTGGAGGAGGAGGGATTGCAGCATGACCATCCCCCCCTGGGTGGTGAATTCTCTCTTTCTATCTTTCTGTCTCTCTCTGTCTCTCTGGTGAGCTCACATGCACTATAGTAAAAATATCTTAAAAAAAAAACTTAGCGATTTATGAAACTATCTAAGTAATTTAATTTATTTTACGTTAGGAAAGTTGATAATATTGGTATCAATCTGTGTTAAGTTTTCATATTATTTGGTTCAGTAGATGGCGTAATGGTTATGTCAGTGGACTCCCATGTAGTCTCCACAGTCAGATCTCAGAGCTGGCAGCTTAAAATTTACACCGGGTGTGTGTGAGTGTGTGCCCAAGAGGAGAATGGAGGAGAAGGAATTGCACTGTGTCTATCCCCCTTGGGGATGATTTCTCACTTTCTATCTCTTGGTCTCTCTCTGACTCTCCAGCAAATGCATGTGTCCTATAGCAAAAATCTCTAAAAAAAAAAAAAAAAAAAAAGTTAAAACCTTATTTTGTTTTATTAGTAATATAAGCATTATTAATAGACTATAATAAATTGCTTTTTTATTTTGTTGTTTTAATATTCTTTGTATAAATTATTTAACTTTCACAATAAATATATTAGGTTCAATATCTTTATCCATATTGACGTTTTGGAACCAGAGACTAGGAGGTATGAAATAGTGACCAAGGAACCAGAGCTAATTATTCACCCAGTTGGACCTGACCCTGGCTCACCACGCTTCCCACTGCAGCTTAACACATCACTGTGAAAGCTCAAAAATTGTTACACAATCTAAATTTTAGAACTAAACTAAAGAACAGTAAATTGCCAAATGCAGAATCAATACAAAAAAAGAATAGAATCAGTAATTCTCACTCATAGTAATAAAAATAGAGAACACTCTTGGTTTGCTTCCTTTTTCACTTTCCTCCCTAATTCAGATGACTTTTAAGAGTCATACTTTGAAACCCTGCCATTAGTTCCATCAGAAATATTAAATGTTAAATAAAGTGATCCTTACTGACCATAAAATGAACACCATTTACTATGCTAGGGAGATAGAAAACATTTTTATGTGAATAGTAGAGAAACTGCCAAAAAAGCTATTTTATTTCAGTCTGTGGACAAGTTAATGTGCTACTGGAAAAAGCATACATATTCTGACCTAATTAATTCCCAGAGTACTTGGTTCTGAAAAAAGTGCTAAGAAATGTCCCCACATTTACTCTATTGCTACACACAGGTTGTGGTAATTACACACATTCTGATAACAGGTCCCAGGCATGAATTAGCTACCTCTGTTCCAAGGATTTTGCTTTTGTGTTTTCCTGCACATATTCTATCTTGGGACATGTGCACATTTTTATATGTAGTCAAAAGTTTATTCCTACTGGGAGGTACTTGGACTCTAAGAGAGAAGACTTCCTTATGATAAAAATGTGCTTGTTGAGCTGGCCCCGTAGCATACTGGATGAGGGAGCTGGATTCCACATAGCCAGCCACGGTTCAAATCCCTGTCCTGGTGGCTTGAAATCTTGAAATAAATAGCAGACTCGTGTGTGTGTGTGTGTCCCAAATCTTGAAAGGATGGAGAAATGGATAAAGGATTGTGGTGAAACCACTCCCCATTGGGACGTACTTTCTCCCTCTCCCTCTATCTCTGTTTCTTTGTCTCTGTTTGGTGAGCACAAGAACTCTCTGGCAATTTAAAAAAAAAAATAAAAAAAGCTTGTCATTCTAATGCCACCACATCCAGACACACAACACTAATGTAGATTGATGGTTCCCACTCAGAGAAACGGGTAAGGCTATTTCCAGTTCCTTACTTGCTGCTATAATTTAAAGATGCTTGAGAAGTACCAAGTACCAAAGTTGTTCAAAGGGCAGAGTGGGCAAAACAATAGTCACAGCTATTTCAAATTGCATTGTGGAAAGCACATAAAGAAGAATGAGATAGTGCCATTTATTCTAGGCATGCCATGTAGTGAATTGCTAGTTTTCTTTTCTACAAAAATGAAATGAGTCAATTTGCTTAAGGAGTGATTAGACTAAATCTTGGCATACCTATGTGATAAAAAGATTACTTTTCATGACACACCCTGTCCTTTAGGGTTCATTTATTCATTATTATTTGTGACATGCTAATTACTACTAAAAATCATCAAGCTAAGTAGATAGTTGGCTGGTAATAGCTGTGTCTCAATTCACTTAATTTATTTTGTCATTTCTAAATTTAGTTTACATAAATAAAAATACTCCTTGTTGTTGATCATGAACATTCAAGCTTTCTCTAACTGCCATGTTGGAAACACGTCTTATTATAAATGAATAAAACTTCTCTTTCTTTATTTCTGTTTTAATCTACAGGACAACATTTTTAAGCTGGAGGACTCACATTTTGAAAATGGCCGAGGGAAGAGTCCATATGACCCTAAACTGTTAACAGCATCTCTTTTAATCGGTGCGTAGCCAATGATCAATTAAATAGTGATTTTTTTTTAACGAGATAATAACTGAGTTACGTGTTATTTTTATCTACCAAGATTCTCCATGATTAATCATAAACAATTTTAGAAGAACATCAGTTGAGATACGTTCAAATGTTTCAAAAATGAAAAAGAAACATAACATTTGGTTATTGTATTAACTAGTCTGATTTTATTTAATGAACTAGTTTCTTTGAAATAGCCTATTCAGTCATTACATATGCCATCTGGGGCTTTAAGTTTTTATTTTATGAAACAATGATTTGTGTTTGGGTTCTCATTTTATGAAAAAGGTGTTTACAAATGGAATTTTTAGCAAGTTATAAAGACAGAATGCGATCCCACCTGTCCTATTCATTGTAGACTAGACTCACTCTCTCATCTGGCCTTGACCAGCGCAGTCAGACTAAATGGCGATGTCCATGGCTCTTTATCTTGAGTTGACTCACCTTTGTATCTTGTGAGAAATGCCAACCCAGGAATGGATTTCTATATATAGTTTTTATGACGTTAGTTTTTTTGTTTGTTTGTTTTATCTAACAATGTGTTTACATGATTTTTTCTACCCTTTTATCTAACCCTCTTTTTTTTTTCTTCCTCTTTTCCTTCAGTATTACAGAAGGGTGGGGAATCATTACTTATATTTTAAAAGGGCAGAGGTAGGAAGACAGAAAAAAGAGAAAACTTTAATCTCTATTAAAAGGTAGAAGCCAAAAGGTGGACTCCCACATGGCCGACTACAGTTTGAATCCTAGACCTGGTAGCTTGAAACTCACCCTGGATGTATGTGTGTGAGTGCCTAAAATCCTGAGAGGAAAATGGAGGAGAAGGGATTACAGCGTGGCTATTCCCCCGGGGTGTAATTTCTCACTTTTTCTCTCTCTGTCTCTGTCTCTCCAGCAAGCATACATACCCTTTAGCAAAATTTCTCTGAAACAAAACAAAACAAAAAAGATAAGGAATTATTTTCACAACTTTTTAGCTACATCCGGATTGGGTTGAACCACACACACAAACAGGGACCAGCAGTTAGCATAATGACTATGTCGCTGGATTCCCATGTAGTCGACTGCAGTTCTAGTCCCAGACCCAGTGGCTTAAACTCATGCCAGGCATGTGTGCGTGCATGCCCAAGTTCCCAAGAGAAGAATAGAGGAGAAGGGATTGCGGTATGGCCATCCTCCCTGGGGAATGATTTCTCACTTTCTGTCTCTCTGTTTCTCTGTGTCTTTCTGGCAAGCACACACGCACACAGACACACAAACAAAAAATGAACAATCTTGAAACAGTTTTTCCTCTTTTCTCCCTTTCTTTATCCTTCCCTTTCTTTTTGCATTCTTTTTCTTAATTTCTGAGCATATCAACAATCTAAAACACATAATCTAGCTCCTGATTCTGTTCTTAAATATATTTTTCTAAACAATTGTGTAGCAATTATGTACCATATTATTTCTTTTTTATAAAATATTGAAAATAATTATTTTATTATAAAAAATGTGAAGCTCCCCAAGTTTAAGATTTATAATTTAATTTTGAGTAGTAAGTTTAGATTTTTAAAAGTAAACTTAGAGCGGCTAGCAGATGGTGTGGTGGTTACATCACTAAACTCCAACATGGCTGACCATGGTTCAAGTCCTGGACTGAGTGAGTTGAAACTCATGCCAGGCATGTGTGTATGAATGCCCAAGAGCGTGGAATGTGAATGGAAGAGAAGGAATTACAACATGGATATTCCCCCCTGGGGGCTGATTTCTCACTTTCCTTCTCACTGTCTCTGCCTGTCTCTCTTGTTTCTCTCCAGAAAGCACATGTGCCCTAAGGCAAAAACCTCTATCTCTACAAAAAAAAAAAAAAAAAAAGTAAGCAGGTTATTATTGATTATTAGGTTATTGTTGATGTGTCCTAAGTTGACAAAGTTTTGTTAATAAATAACTTTTTCTACTCAATTAAAATTCTAGCAATATTAACTATTGTTAACTATGAAAATATATTTTTTCCAGTATTTCCTGGTATTTTACAGTGTGTAAACACTGTGTTTTAGTAAGAATAAAGTATTCCAGTAAGAATAAAGTCATTGTAGCATGAATGATCTCCTCTATTGCTTCTCTTATACAGACAATTGTAGTCCATTTGATCTATTATACTATATTCTAACAAAAGTTTAAGACCTGAAGGAATGCAGAAAATGTAGCACATTTATAATTTTCCTATTCATGAATGTCCTAATGATTGCATGTGGTTGACTTCTTCCAGAGTACATGCTGAAATCTGAAAGTTGTCTTGAACCAAAGGGAGGAGTCCTACCTTGTTCGAACTTGCAGTCTATACTTACTTAATTTGCACAGAGGGAAAAAAAGGCTAGATATTCCTCAAAAAGCAGTATGTAAAAATGTGCCTAAAGCAGCTTTACTTTGTGGTATGTTTCTCAGTAGGGATTTGGTTGATTATTTATTTTAATATTCCATTGAGAAAGGATAATGACAAGTGGGTATTACGTAATTCATATGGTATGCAACCACACAAAATTTGCAAAGATGAAACTACAATTTTGGGTTTCTCTTAGAATTTCTTTTAAAAAGCTATATAGTGTTACGAAAAGAAAAAGAATGAGGGAAGTTTAGTGAGGCAGGGAGAGGTTGTGTGACTGAGAAAGAACAATAGACATTTTAGTAAATAACCTTTAGATGAGTCCATCTAATACAGAAAATTAATTTAGCAACTTTCAAAGACACATAGTACTTACTGACAAGCCCAAATACACTGATTTTCCAATCAGTTGAATAGCAAGATATAGAAAAAGAAACAGCCCAACTAGACCTGATAAAATTCTTCAAAGGCCCAAAATATCATCTTAATTCAAGAGCCGTAACTCCCATTATTGACGTTATTTACTTCCTTTATAACTGAGCTATAAATCCTTCCTCTCACACTACATTGAATTCCCCTCGTTAGGTTTTGCTTGCCATTTTTTTCTTACACTGCCTTAAAAAAGAATGCTCACCAGTTTAATGGAGCTTTTTAACATAAATATTTTCTACAACCCTTCCTAAACTCTTTTATATTCAAGGGTAACGGCTGTCTCTGAAATATACAGGTTTTACCATGTATGTTAGAAAATGGCCATGGGAACTTCTATCTTCCTAAAAAAATTTGGATACATTATCTTCACTTTAGCATATAAGACAAAAATTTTCAGGAGGGTCCAGACTGCTTCCTTTCCCATAGAAGGAAATACAAGTTCATGTTTGGCTCTAACCATCTGTAAACTGGCTAGATGGATCTTGGAAGCAGATTTTTTTTAATGCCATCAATCTCAATATAAAGTAATTTTAATCAGTAGTAAACTTAAAAGGAAGAGGACAGTTTAAAATTTTAGTTTATAAAAGGAACGATGGAGTTTCAGTAGACCCTCTTTCCAAATTGCTATGGTTTTATGTTGATGCCCATGAAAAATAGGGATTCTCTCTTAAGCAAGGCATAGCCACTGCTATTAAGCAGTAAGCACAAAGTTATTAAGCTAATTAAGTCCCCCAGTACTAAAACATGTCCTAAGTTTTCTTCAAATTATTTAATAAAATTATGTTTTACTCTCCTTTAGTAATGATCATTTTTGTCAATATGAAATTTCTCCAGGATTTTAAAAATATTTATTTTATTCACCTGCAAATATTTGTATGACTTTGTTTGAAATTTCTTTATTAAAGATAGCAGTTGTTCCTCTGCTCAGAATAAATACTAGTTATAAACACCCACTGGATAAAACAGTTTTCTGCACTAATTAAGTACCATCTCACCTTTTTATGACATGAAAAGAATAGTCAACTTGAGAGCAATTTTATTTCCTCACTGAAATCTTTTCCAGGCAATGAAGTGCTAATAATTTAGAAACATTCCATCACTAAGAGATATTACTGAAATATATTTCAAAGGTCTGGGACTTTTTGCTAAGGTTTATATCCTCAAGCTGGAATTTTGCCTGGCCTCAGGAAAGAGTAGAATTTGACATTAGGAAATGCTTTCACTTGGTATTATAACAAGCAAAGAACTCCTTTCATTAATTAAATATAGTTGAGAAAATTATTTGAAGCCCTCTGAACTCAATTTTTTTTGTGTATAAAAAAGTATGGCCTTGTTAATTCTTCTGCTTGTTTTGAGAATTAAATGAAGCAATGTAATAGCATACTACTATTTTGAGTTCCTATATATTTCTGGAATTTATGTAAAAAACAAACAACAAAAACTGGAAGCTGTTGTTGCCCAGAGGAAAGTGGAGAGGCAGTTTGCTATCTTATAAATTTTATGTTTTTAATTTTGTACCATGGCCACCTATTAATTGCTTACATATGTTAATTCTAAAAGAATAACATAAATAACAAAATCAACATATTATATATATTGGTATAGAGAAGGTGCTCAATACATGTAAAATTATTCCCACCTTCCACTCCCGGGGAATGGATTTCATCCATGGTGTGTGTGTGTGTGTGTGTGTGTGTGTGTGTGTATGAGAGCTAGAGAGTGAAAGAGACATAAATTTCTCTTTTCCTTCTGTTTCTAATTACTCTGCAACCCTGTGAATGGAATTCACTTAAGGTGTTAACAACATAATGGCTTGGTCTTTAGGCTTGTTTGATTTTTGCTTGCATCCATGTCACACTTTTCACCTGTGCTAGTAATGCTGCCATTTCATCAGGAAATGTTTTTTTCATCTTCTGTTTCTCCTCACCACACCCTTCTTAGGAATTGTAATCCAATACATTAACTGATCGAAGCCACATTTTTACTTCATTTTGAGCTGTGAACAAAAGGTCTAGAGTACATATGAACTTTTGATTTTAATACATGCTTCTCAGGTAACTCCGCCATGGTGGAAATGCAGTTCGCAAAACTTTGAGTTCCTCTAAAATGACTTTCCTTTGAGACAGTTAAGAAAGCTTACAGTGAAGAAAGAATGGTAGTGTACTCAAAAAGCAGCTTTAGTATTTGACAATTTCTAGATGGTTATGTCTGTCAACACGAATTTATCTTAGTCCAGTATATAATTGTCGAGACACTAAACTGCCCATGTGGTATTTTTTGTAAAGAGCCTTAAGGATCTTGTTGGACAGAGTAGTCACAACCACTTTTTGATATATATAACAATTCCTTGACTATAATATTCTATCATCATTTTAATAAAATTGGACAAATATCATGTTTTCTTTCACGAGTGGTTTAGTATATGTGGAAGGCCCAAAAGTATGCATCTCTACATAATGCCATTGAATCATTGCCAAATATATTTACCTAATACACTACTTCAGATTTTCATGAAGATTTAAATTTAGAGTCAGAAAACCGTTAAATAAAAAAGAATGCTAAAAAAAAACATATAATTTGATAACTTCATAAATGAAGTTTGGCAAGTAGGCTATTCCTTTTTTGCCAGAGGACATGTGTGCTTATTGGAGAGAGACAGGGAGAAAGAGAGAGTGAGAGGGAGAGGGAGAGGGAGAGGGAGAGGGAGAGGGAGTGGACCGAGCGTCTCCCACGGGGTATTTGGGTATGAATGTACAGACACCCAGTGTGATTTTCTAGCTATTAGGTCTGGGATTTGAACTGTGCAGTTGACCCTCCCAAGCGGTGCAGTTGTGAGACCAGCTCCTGTAACCAGCATGCTATAGGCTAGCCCACAAGGAGGCTTTTTTTGTTTATCATATCTGTTCTCTGAAATAAAGCCACCTGAGATACTCTAAATATTTTTTAGTCAGACAACCTCAGATAATTTCAGATACAAAGTTATGTAATGAATCTTTGATACCTAGGGGAAACATTTATTAAATAGCACATATTCTGGGTTGATGGTATGTTTATGCTTAATGAGAAGTACCAAGAGTAGGAATAGTCTACGATCTGTATTTTTGGACCAAAACAGAGGAGATGACATATATATCTTGGAGCAATCCTCCCTGATAAAAAGCCCCCTAGAAATCTCAGCAGGACATCTGATCTTAGGCCTGATGTAAAGAAACACTTTCTAGTACTGAGTGCAGACAGTATGAAAATGTGTTCTTCGCGGTCACCTAGTCATCTGGTACCCTCAAGCTCAAGGAAATCACTCTGACTCGTGCCAAAAATAATATCCAGCTAGGAGGTAATTTCCTATAACTTCAGAAGGCTGGTGCCTGAAGTGTAACTTCCCTTTGGTTTATAAGTCAATAGTTTAATTTAATTCTCTTTTTAGTAATAGATTGAGTCAATAGACATTCTACTGCAGAGTTCCTCTCCTTTTTCTGATGACCTTCCTATGTGCTGTGGAAAAAGAAAAGGAAATCATTCTAGCAGTCCTTGCCTGCATTTGTATTGATTTAAGCCTTCCTCATATGAGAATGGATTAAAAAATGTTACAAAACAGCCAAATAAGAGGAACACGCAGTTTTCTTTATCTGAGACATAGTTTTTTTGGTTTGTTTTGCTTTGTTGTTTCAACTCTCTTTTGAGTAGACTTTATATATCACACCAACCATAATTAAGAATTTTGCTAATTCTAAAGCAAGCTAATAACAAAGATAATGATTACTTAATGATTTTTTTACTCTTCTATTTCCGATTAAACCCCTGTATGACGTAATTTGTCTGACTATACTCTAACATTGAATTCCTTGTTTTTCACCTTCTTTGTTATTTCTAAGTTTGCTTTACCTGATTTTCATTGCCTAACTTATGGCAAAGAAGCAGTAATGTTTGGGGGTCAGCATGTGGTGTGGTGGTTAAAGCACTGGACGACCATATGGCCAACCCCAGTTTGAGCCCCAGAACTGGCCAGTTGAAAATGCTATCAGGCAAGTGTGTGCCCAAAATTCTGAAAGAAGGAATTTTAGCCTAGCTATTCCCCCTATGGGATGATTTCTCACTTTTCCAGGAAGCACACATACCCTATGGAAAAAAATCTAAAAAAAAAAAAAGAAGAAGAAGAAGAAGAACTAATGTTCAACAAATAATTTAAAGTAATGCTTTTGATTTTTCAAGATGAAACGGATATAAGGCTTCTTCTCATAGGTGTTCTGACATGAAAATGTTTTAAATCAGCATGACCATTGTAGGCTGCTTTAACAACATATTTGACGAACACCCACTTAATTTACACAGACTAAGAATAGCCATTCACGTGACATTTAAAAATACATCATGTCCATTTATCTATTATTTATAAAAATATAAAACATTAATTTAAAAGAAAAATCACAGTGATTGAATGTAGGTTAGTAAAAAGGAGACAATAGACATTTAAATGTTTCAGAGTACCTTAGAAATTTTTAAATAGCTTATTCAGTTTGGTTTTTTATACGTATTTTTAGAAAAGCATTATTTCTTTACCTTGTAGTCAGGTAAAATATAATCACATCAATTTTATGAGAACAATTCAGATTTGTACTTGTTATTTAATTAAATAAAGAGGATATAGGTATTATACTTTTGAATCTCAAAAATACTATGCTGAGATTTAGCTAGTAGTTTTACTCAATATATTATCTAACCACCATTTTTATTTATCTTGAGTCACAGCAATCCAAATTAAATGGCCAACTTTCAACTTGTTTTCTAATAAAATATTCATGTCTATCTAAAGTAATAACTTGTTATTCAGTAATGTTTCTCTCTGTGGTTATTCTTCAATGTTTTGGAGGGTCTTCAAAGTCATGTCCATTCAGACACATCAGCAAGCCATTCCATGAAAATTGCTTTGCGTTAAAACAATGAGAATGTCCATTTTATATTGCAAAGTCCTTTATATGCAAGTGAAAACTAAAGTGGTAATAAAAAAATCATGTAAGGAATCAATTTAAGCTTATTCCAAAGGCATTTATGAGGAGTCTTGGAAAATGTATTCTATGAAAAAAAAAAAAACATGGATTTTAAAACTTTTGCACCAAAATAGAGTCAGTACAAAATAATTTTCCATAAATTTTTTGAAGTCCTCTTCTATACTTGAAGATTACTTATCTAATATGAAAATATTGGGGGAGAGGTACTATCAGGTGCTATGATGGTTAAGGAACTGGACTTCCATATGACTGACCATTGTTCAAGTCCCAAACCCAGAGGCTTGAAAATCACACTCTTTGTGTGTATGCATACAGCCCAAAATCTCAAGAGGAGAATGGAGAAGAGATTGTGGTGTGGCCATCGGATTTCTCACTCTCCCTCTCATTGTCTCTCTGTCTCTCTGGCAAGTGCACATGCCCTCTAGCAAAACCCTTTAGGAAAAAAAGTCCCTGGGAAAGGATACTGTTATATAACTCTTAAGATTATAATTTATTTGTACGTTCTTTATTTTCTGAATATTTCCCAATCAACGAATGCAAACAAATTAAGAGATCGAATCAATCAGGAAGACAATGTTTAAGTTTCCTGTAATTATCGTGGATTATTTAAGGAAAATTTTAATCATTGTTTTGTTTTGTTTTCAAATAATTCACTATAAATAGGCAGTCAATTGTGTGTTTTTATTATAAATAGTAAGAGGCACTTTCTGTTTCAAGGAAAGAAAGTGCAATTTTTGAAATTCCACTGTATTGGGTGGAATGACTTAGTGTAAAATTTTGAGATCAACAGGTCTGAGTTTGGACCTTCACCTTGACTTGCCTAGTCCTTAGCTGAGTAACCTTGGGGTCCCTAAACTGTAAAATAGGGATAACATTGTTTATGTCATGGGGTCGTTGACAGAACTAACTGAGATAATTTGAAAGTGTCAAGGCAGCTCCTGACTGCCTGACAAGAGCAGAGTGTAGTTACCAAATATTAACTTTTCTTTCTCCTCCTTTTCTTTGTTTCCTTTCTATTCTTTACCTTCTGGTTATGATTTCCTCAGTATTAAACTCTGACCTAGAGTTAATTCAGTTTAAGTAATAATGAGTCAAAACTGCAATAATTATGGCCTGAGTTTGTCAAAACTTTCCTCATCAGACACATTTCTGAAGGCCCTGTGGTGGACTTAGGTTTGACCTTTTTGAGAACTCATGCCAAGTTAGAACACTTATACAAGATACAATCAAAAAAAAAAAAAAAAAAAAAAAAAAAAAAGCAGGGACTATACCAGTACTTTCTAAATCATAGCAAAACATCATTAATTCAGATTCAGATTCCAAGCAATTTTGAGTCATCAGAAAGTCATGAGGCATTTTACATAGAAAAACAACCCAATACATAAAGTATTTAACTGACATTAAAATAAAAGCTATAACAAGATGTTATAATGATACCTTACCCTACTAAATAAAGATATTAGAATCATTTACTTAAGAGACTGGCAGATACCATAGTGTTTAACAGCACTGGACTCCCACATGGCCAACCACAGTTCAAGTCCTGGGCCTGGCAGTTTGCAATCTCTCTTTCTCTCTCGCTCGCACTCTCTCTTTCTCACTTTCTCACTCTCTTGACCTCTCTCTCTCACTCTGTCCCTCTTTGGTCAAATAAATAAATAAAGTTAAATAAAATAATTATTTTAGGAAAAGAATCATCAGCTTTATATATATAAATATATTATAATATAAGATAATATATTATAATATAATATAAATATACACAGTGTAATAAATTAGTTTGTATATGTCATTTTATGTTTGTCACTTGGCATAGTGGAAAAGAATAGAATTTCATGTTTGGCAATGTCCACAGAATCAAATTTATTCACATTTTCTAAGTCAATACTCCATAAAATGTCAGCAACTTAATCAGTGAATTTGGTAAAATATCCCTTTTAATAAAGACATTGGATAAAATGTTAGTAGCTTTGTATAACGATGCAGATTTCTGTTTCCTCTTCAGCTTGCAAGAACATAACATGAAACTTGCATTTCATTTGTTTGTCTTATTTTGCTTGCCTTAATTGAATTAAAGTATATGTATATGATTTTATTTTGTCACAACACAGATGGAGAATTATACTCTGGAACGGCAGCTGATTTTATGGGGCGAGACTTTGCTATCTTCCGAACTCTGGGGCACCACCACCCAATCAGGACAGAGCAGCATGATTCCAGGTGGCTCAATGGTAGGTGGTGCGTGCAGGAACCCAGGCATGCAGCTTGTGGAACTGCATTAAATCATGGGAGAACTTTCCTTCTGTAGTGTGGATAGTATGACTTGAGATTTAGTATGCTGTTAAGCTAATGGAGGTGACTTCATCACTGTGGGTGTGAGAAAGTTGGACAAAAAGAAAAGAGAGATTAAAAATTCAGGGAAATATTTGTTTTGTGCCAGAGTTGAAGTTTCTCAGTAGTTAGTGATAGAAAGAAAGCGATCTGGGCTAGAGCTACGGAAGGGAGGCAGTGGAAAAAGATAAGGCGACTTGCCCAGCCTGTATTACAAGGACACCGCTACACATCTCATACTACAGTGTTCTTTAATTCATGCCTCGTTATTGCCTGAGAGTATCATCATTTAGATGATTTAATGTTTAAAAACTAATATAAGGCTCATAGCTTTACACTGAAGGTGTTTTCAAAATCTCAAAGGGCATTTTTATCATTTTACTTGACTTACCTTTAGTCTTCCTAAGATCCTTTACCTCATGTTATAGGTGAGGAAATTAAGGCCCAGTAGTTTAAGATTTGAAACAAAAACCCATTTCCTGAACTGCAAGCACTAACTCAACTAGTGATTAAGTGGATGCTTTATCATTATTAGGCTTTTAATGTATTCTTTTTGGTATATACATCATTTTAGCGCAACAGGAAATGCACAAAACGTATGTACTTAAAATAAATTAATAAATAAATACTAATTTTATTCAGATTTTTAACGAAATACTCATTATATATGACAGGAGAGGGAATATATGTACACTCCTATTAGAATTTTTTTTTTGATTATTCATTTATACAATCATCAAAGATTTTTAAAATGGCCTCAACTCTACTATCCTGGCTATTTTATATTATGGCTTAGTTACCTGAATTTATATCTGTTTCCAAATTTACAGAGTAGAGCTGCCCAGTACTAATCTCTTCTCCATGAACTTTTTCTGTTTTCACATGCCACGTTAATAAGAATGAAGTGTACGGTTTATGGCCTACTTACAGTTTCAGTAAGAAGCTTAATTAATTCATTCTTTGAACTTTTGCCACACTTTTTTTTCCTGCCCTACTTATGGAAACTCCAAAATTCATTTTATCACTTCCTTCTTTCATTGGTTTATGAGAGAGAAATCACAAGTCTGCCTCTAGATCTCACTGAAACTTCACAGCCAAAATTGTGTGTGACAATTTTGTTCTGATATAGCACATACTGCAAAGTGACCTAAAATCATGCTTGTCAATCCCATGCAAAATCCTCCTCTTAATGATGATATACCACAGAGTCTCTGTATGTTTAAGATCATAGCCTTTTTAAGACTTGTTTCCTCAACATTTTCACCACCTTTAGCCACTGGCAACCTGACTTTCATCTTAGTCTATTCTCATGGCACTGTTTCTCCAAAGGTTACCAGGGACATCCTATAGCTTTTTAATCAGTCTCCATCTAGACAATCTCTCTAGCAGTGTTTATCACTATGAGCTAGCCCATTCTCTTTAAGACAGTCACTTCTCTTAGCTTCCCAAGTCTATTTATTACTGTCTCAAGTTTTCTCTAAATTGGGCATCACTTCCCCATTGTTGTTTTAAATGCAGATGATGCCTAAGATCTCTCACGATTGCATATAAACACTGCGTTAATTAAAGAGTATTGTGCAGAGTTGAATCCTCCTCTACTGGAGGCAAAGGCATTCTAGTAGTACCTTAGTGTACACCTGGGAAATTAGAAGCCTCTTCAAGGAAAAGATGCTGAGATGAAGAGAAGACTAGGTGTTAAAACTCTAAAAGCCCAGACTGTCTTGGAATATCTGCTGTCAAGTGTTAAAGCTAAGATGTATGTAAAGGCAAAATTAATGGGAAAAATGTCTCTTTAAATATTATTATCTGGTATTTTTTCAAACTGAAATATTTGTGTGGGAGGGGAAAATGTTTGTTTTTCTATTCATCAAGGAGGAGACTTTGATCTAAGACTCTGAAGGGCATACAGGCTCTCACTGTCCCTGAGAAACAAAAATCTCATTAGAAGATGGAATAACATAAAGGAGCGTATAGTATCCATTTCACTTTTATGGCCTTGGATGGAAAAAGTCATCAAGCTAAAGCAGCTTTTATGCTGCACACTCGCATGCTGACAGCTGAGTCTGAAGAATTTACACTGTGGGAAAACACAGTCATTGTCCACAGCTCTGTACTTCATCTCTGAAAATGTGTGGTTCATTTGAGAATTCAGTTATCAGTCTCTCAGCACTAAATGTGAGAACTGATTTTTCCAAATTAGCACAAAGGTTACATCTGACAGGGTGCAGAAACCAGAACCACTGCAGGACGGAGGAGGCAGGCTATTTGAAATAGAACTAAGGCACTGGGATTCACAAGCCTCCTGAAATGAAAAACCCTTTCAGAATAAACGTGGAAACATGAGGTTTACAGTCACATGTATAAAATAAATGAGTTTGGCGTCATCAGCACAGACTACACAGTCATCTGTCATACCATAAGTAATACATGGCCCGGCATTTTTTCCAAAGGTCTTCTAGATTATTAAAATTAATTCGTCATAAGACTTACTTTACTTTTCCCAAATTAATTCAACTCTTGGGGAAAAAAATCATTCCACTTGTTTTGGATGATTTTTAGATTTTTGTTCCGGCTGAAGAAAAATAAAACATTAGTCTAGAATTAGACCTTCGAATATCTTGATTTTTTAAAATACGATATTATTACTTTCATAAGTACTATTCAATTTACATTTTATGATAGTGCCAATAAACGTTTAAATTCAGTTTAACAGGAAAGATTAGGAGTGCATAATGCTTTTAGATAAAGAAACTTAAAGAGATGGATTTTTTTTCTTTTTTACATATTAATATATAATGTAGCTTTTCGAAAATTCTCATGATTTACAGTAAACTCTAAGTTAAGGTTGTCAAAGGTTAAAAACCTTTTGATTTCAGAAAATGTACTAGTAAGACTTGGACTTGCTATGTTGAAATTCATTTGTTTTTTTCCTTGTGCTATATAAATCCTCTCAATGGTAGATTATTTTAAACTTCAATTAATTCAGCTAATTAATAGCATCAAAACTTATTAAAGGTCTATATATTTATGATAAGGAAACAAGTTTATGCTGCTATTATAATAATCATTTTATACCATGTAATATGTAAATACTACCACCTAATTATTGCATGTATTAGCTGTTCATTACAGGAGATAAATGGTTAGCCTGCATTTACTTCTCTACTTGATGGACACTGCTTTCCAATACTGTTTGTGTCTTGGATTAATATTAGGGTATCACATGATTTAAAGGAAAGACTACAGTTTCACAATAAGATAACATTTTACCTCTATTTTGGCTCTTACATTTAATCAAAGAATAATGTTATAATGTGGGATAAAAAAGAAAATTCCTATAATTTGAGGGAAAAAAATGGCAGTGTATAAAAAAGTGCTGAACAAATGTTTGGCATAAAGTGAGCACTTAATAAACATCAATGGTCTCAGTATCCCCTGTCCTACTCCACTGGGTGGAGCATGCTTGGGCAGTTTTGTCAGAATCATTCTGTGAGTGATTAGACTTGAGTCAGGGTGAAAGGGCAGCGAGAGTTGGGCTTAATATATGAAACCGCATGGATCCTTGAGAGAGCCAAGGCCCAGTGAACACAAACAGACCTAATTACAAAGCCCAGAGTGTGAGACCTTCCCACTCATTTCAGGAAGACCTGTTTTCTTTTAGTGGAATTTCCTAAAAGGTTCGTGCCTGTGGATAGACCAACCCACTTGCTTTTTTCCGTAATTGAAATGGTATGCAAGTCATCACTCCACTTCCTCTCACTTGTAACATTCATACCGCCATGGTCTGCCCTTATTGGAATCAGCCTAGCTTCCTCTGTGGTCATGTAGTAGGATATTTCATGTTCTCTTAAGATTCAAATTTCTCCACGAGAAATTTTTTTTTTAAATAGAAACAAGAACTATGACTATAAAAATAGAAACAAGAACTATGACTATAACTACAATCAACTAGGAGTGCTTAAATTAATATTACATGGGACTGGATGTTCAAACTTGAATTACTTTTCTACCTCTTTTACCTATTTTAGTTCTGCCATCTTTGGAAGCTTTAACACTGTCAGAATTTCCAATTTTATTTTTCACTAAAAAGTAAAATGAGTCATTTAGTTGAGCATCCTGTCAGACTTCTTGATGTCATTTTGGGCTATTTCTCTGGCTTCAGTAACTGAGTAATGTTTTTCTAACCTTTGGAGAAAAAGACCTCTGTAAACCTTACTTGATGGTTATATGAGAGGATGAGTATTAAAAACATTGAACGATCATTCAGTTAAAATGATGACAGTAATAACACATGTTTTTGTAGCCTATAAAAGAAACAAACGTGATTTTTTTTTCACTTTTGAATGATATCTTCTACAAGTTATTCCTATATTCATTAATTAACAATTCTGAGGCATTAATATTTAAAATCACACAAATAAAAATTATTTTATTTATAGTTATTATTCCTAAAATTAAGCTGAAACTTCAATATGTAATACTTAAAAGCATTTACATCCGGACCTACATGCAGGTTAGTAATTACCTATTGTGTTTTCTCATGAATCTATTACTGAGAAACATTGTTCTCTCAATAACAAAAGGATCCCTCATAGGTATGTGTATAATCTTTTCAATAACTAAACACACATCATGAAATTATTCTACTTTCCAAATGATGATAAATTTAATAAAAATATCTACACATATTTTAATTTTTTTTAAATTACCAAAATGTACTTTTACTTGAACTTTTTAAAGATCTTCTTTGTTGATTTTCATCTAAGGGAACATCACATTTAGCCAATTTTATTTTAAATAACATTTCACTAACAAAAAAAATGATAAAAAGCTTTAGAGTAAAAATGAACTCATGATTGTAATATGTTTGGAAGTTGATTCTATTTTTCAGGCCTCTTCA